TGTGACGCATTTCTAAAACAGAAAAAAATGCTTCATTTTTCGAAGCATTCACTTTAATGTTGAAACGTGTCGGACTTTGAAATGAAAGCGTGTTTTAAATTAGCATGGAGCCGTGTCCAGCTGAAGGACATCATTGTGAGGATACAGACGCCCTGCAGCTGAAGCTCTCTAAAATCTGCTCACATGAGGTGTTCATTTGATGTTTTTTATTTATTTTTTCCTGCAGCATGAACAAAAATCCTGTAAAACTCAAATGCAATTTTTTCTTTCCTAATTGAAATTGTTAATTTGAGCATTTGATTCTCATCCAGCCTGCTACTGTACATGTTAGACCTGAGACCATGTGACTGCAGCATGAACTAGTTCACACAGTGTTTGCATCATTCTCACTTTGCAGCTCTGTGTCTGGACACTGAAGCAAGGTCTCATGATCTGATCTTTGCAAATAAATAAGTGTGTGTGTGCATTTTATTCACCATAATAGGCCTTTCTCTATTATGTGTAGTCTAAAAAATTGCTAGCCATTATTTATAGGTGAATGTGCCTGTGCATTCATAGACACTGAAGATGATTTCCTCCATTTAGTTGTTTTCACTTCAGGTGAAAATGTGACAGTCAGCGTCTTAGAGTGGAAACAAAGATATTAACAACCTGTTTGCACAAAAATGAAGAAGAAAAGATACTTTCCATACGTAAATACAATATAAGAGGACTGAACTTTCCTATATGAAATATATGTACATATAAAATAAAAAACATACATGTTAGAAATTGGTTTTCCTGTATTGACGTATATGTTCTGCTCATAAAAATATGTATGTTTATGTTTGTATGATTATAGTAGACATATGTTACATAGATAATTTTAATATATGTATGTATACACATTTTACTATGGTATTCTATCTATGTTATAATATATCCCCTCATAGGTGACATATATAAGGACATATGTTACATTTCTGTGTGGGTATACACTGATCTGAGGCCTGCGTATTGTAACAGACAAGGTTTCAATCCAACAAAGATCTTACTTCCTTATTGTCCGTTTGATGAATGACATGTTGTAGTTTACGAGCCTCAATATTTTCTTCATTAATTGACATTAAGTGGCTTTTTCCAGCTACAAAAAAATGCCCCATTCTACAGCATGAGTGTGCAGAAATAAACTGCAGAGACTACAGGCATTTCCAAACAGCCTAATGTCCAGGAGGAACGCCTGTGTCTGCACCAGGCTTCACAGTGACAGTATGAAAAGTCTATAGTTTCTACAAATGAATTCATACACAATTATTATTATTATTGAAATACAATGGTGACATCACTAAATGACCCCCAACTGAATTTGGCTCATCTCTTATCTTGGGGCTGAGGCTCATTAAAAACAAAAAACAAGAATCATGCTGTTACCCATGTGGGGGAAACAGATGTGACCCATTTCAGTTCTCAGATTTTGGGACAGATTTTGTCTGATTAAAGGAAATACAATCATGTTATTTATCTATAGCACTGAACTGTATATGATAAAGATGTAAATTGTTGAGAAAGACTTGGGAAGAGTGGTTTTTACTTTATTGTCACTGCATTGTTCTTTTATGTTTGTGAAATACATTTTTATGTTGCATGAGTTTAATTTTATTAAATTTTATGTTTCTATCTATCTATCTATCTATCTATCTATGTGTTTGCATTTTACTTGTAAACATCAACCCCTCCCGAACACATGAAGGCCACCAGCCCACTCCCATCCATCCGGTTGCGCAGACACACACGCACACGCGCGCGCACGCCACACACACACACACACACACACACACACACACACACACACAACACACACACACACACACACACACACACACACACAACACACACACACACACACACACAACACACACACACACAGCCCCCGCAGATCACCCAACCCACCACCACCACCACCGACTGTTTTCTTCGCACACCGTCCTGACTGCGCTGCTCTCCCCGCCTCCCTGCATCCCTGGCACGGCCTCACGCTCACATCCTTCCCGCAGCAGCAGCAGCAGCAGCAGCAGCAGATGTAGTACCACATTTACATTTCTCTTGCGTGTCAGGCCACGACACGCAGGCCACATTATCTGCGATGACTGCTCAGATTTTTACACAGAGCTGAAGGCGCCATATGAACCCTTGGATAAATCTTTCAGAAGGACGCAATGTCACAGTGAAAGTTACAGGAATGTAAAGAACAGATCACACGAATATTAAGACGATAAATCACAAAATTGATCAATGCATCTGATCAGGCCTCTGAAGCTCAGTACTGGGCATTACAGACACGCTATGGGGACATTTTTAGGAATATCATTGTGGCGAAGAAAAGCAGAAACACATGACAGGTTTAATGGGCCCTGCGTGCACGAATCCCTCCCCCATACCAAAGAGAGAGAGAGGGAGAGAGAGAGAGAGAGAGAGGTAAACAGAGACAAGGAAGAGAATGAAAGCATCCTTTTACCCGAACATCCCTCCCAGGAAGGATCCGGACGCTTTGACCTTTTTGTCGGCTTCAGCCATCAGCTGCATGGCCTCCTTCTCTTTGCCGGAGTTGTCCATGGCGAGCTGGGTCTGCCGCTGGCGGAGGGATGGGAGGAAAACAGGCCGATGTTCCGCAGTGGACGGAGAGGAGCAGAGGAGAGCAGAGAGGAGAGAGGAGAGGAGAGGAGGGGGATGTCTCTGCTGGTGCTGATGCTGAGAGGCTGCGGCTCTTCTTCTACGGCGAGAGAGAAAGATCATTCGCGGCTCATTACCGCCAGCTGCTGGAAAGAATAGGAATGACTACTGACCGGTGCAAGAAATAAATAAATAAATAAATAAATAAATGAATAGATAAATAAATAAATAAATAAATAAAGGGTAGGTTCAACATATTTTCTAATTTACAGCCTAATACATTTATAAACTTATATTATTATAAAAGATAAATTTGTGAGTTGTCAGGCAGAATGTTTAATGATATTATTGAGCTATTGACTGCACAGGACTGAGCCATCTGTTTGAGAATTAGCATTTTGTTTTTCATGGCTTTAACAGTTCAGTATCTTCAGTTTATTCTATTTGGGTTTTAACCTTTATCTGATGGGACTCAAATTATTAACGAGTGAATAATCTAACAGTTGATCCATTAATGTTGTATGAATATGGATTCATGCAGCTGTAATCTCAAAGATCACTGTTGCATTTGATAAAAAAAAAAAAAAGAAAGAAAAGAACATTTTTCTGGAAATGAAATTCAGATATTTGGTTTGGAAACTGTCGAATCTTGACAAAGAACAAATGTATGAGCCACTGAGGTAATAACACAACAAAACAACACACAAGAAACACATTGTGGAAGTGAGATGAAATTTTACGGACAGGTAAATTAAGAACTCAACATAAACATTCTTATGTCATGTTACTTAGTTTACTAAATACTACACTGTTATATCTACAGGCAGAAAGTTCTTCCGATAAATCCAGTGTGTTTTTGTAATAAGAAAACACGACAGACCGCCTCCCAGCTTGAAAAGCCTCCTCCATCTTCCTCCTCCATGACAACTACAGTTCACCGCCTCTCTGTGAAAACCCACATTATCCTGCTCGTACACAAAGTCACTACAACACCAACGTTTTGTGAAGAAACACGGACATGGTGGGTTTGTCATGATGTGGTTGACAACAGTAATTAAACCTATTATACTCTGTGTCTGATGGAACCAAACTTCCTCCTTTCATACACTTCATATGACGCATCTTCCCACAACACGGTGAGCGCTGAAAAGCGAATGCAGCATCGATCTAGGACTGTGACACGGGAATATTAATTGATTACAAATCATTTTAGATCAAATGTTTTAATGGTCTTTCAATCGGTCTTAAAATAGCATTCAGTAAAACCAGGAAACAATTAAACAGGTGGAGAAATCTAAGACAGTAAAGCATGCTCAGTTTAATCACTAAAGCTGGGGTGCGTTCAACAAGGCGTTTTGCTGGAGAACCTGGACATGAACATGTTTTAACAGATAATTTAGTTATGAACTTTAATTTTGCAGCTGAATCTGAATCAATTGCAGTGTAGGTCAGGTACAAGATCGTTCAACAGTGGCTTCAATTTCAAGCCAAGATTCTCTGAGAAAAGGTTGTTGAACGCAGCTTAAGCCTTAGTTGTTTAAGTCTAGAGGAAAAACAAAACATGGAAAATGTTCCAACCAATAATTTTCTGGAGGATCACTGTACAAAGAGTCACAAGCTCCATTCATTTTACATTTTTTACAAAAAGAAGTCTGAAACAGTTTTATAAATGATGCTCTTGTTACTGAATTATCAACAATAAATACTGTAAATAAATAAACATTCATCAGGGTGATAACTATGTTAAAACAACTTTCACATCGAAACAAATAAATCATGCAGCGGCAGCAGAGACTTTGGCTCCACATCTAACAGCTGTCCGACCGTTTGTGCAGCAGTCCGAGGGAACTCTGGGGATGTTGCTGCTACTGGTCAGAAAACTTCAGAAAACAAATCAAAAATGGGTTCATTTGCCAACCCCCCCCCCCCCCCCAAAAAAAATGTTCTTAGTCCTTTAATCTTTCTGTGCCAGTCCTCTCCCTTTCCTTAAACATTATGTGAGTAAAAGTCTGATGATCCATAAATCCATAAAAGTCTTAAGTTAACTGTCATGCTATAATATATTGTATTAATTTCTGTTTCTTAGCTGAATCTGCCCTTGAGACATTTTCCCACAAACCTCATGAATGAATAAATAAATAAATAAATAAATAAATGATCCAGGGGTAGTCTGGCATAAATCTTGTAAAACACAAAGTACAGACAGGTCGTTTCTGAGCCTGCCCCTTTATCCTCCCTCATCACATTAAACTCATGCCGATGATCACTCTACAACAAGTGTGTTAACACACTCATAAATATTCTGAATGAGGCCTTCACCCCCGTGAAGGTCTTACCGGTTATATGGATGACTGTTAAGCTTCTACATGAACAACCACCCTAAGGTACGATACACACACACACACACACAAAAAAAGAAAGGGCCGGTAACATACTCTTGAAATATTGGATGACATTAGATGCATTGATTTATTGCATGAAACCATGAGCCTAAAATAAAATAAAATAAAATAAATAAATAAATAAATATCACAAAATTCAGCTCCCTATTGAAAATGAATTGTGTGTGTGTTTTCCAGTATCCTTAAAAGTATACAATATTCATAATAAAGTATAAGTATTCATATGACATAGTATATGTGTTATATTATGATAGTGTGCAATAATATATGTCATTGTACCGTATTTTCTCAGTTTTAGACCAGCAGGAAGATGTGGTGGATAAATGTGGGTGGAGAGCAGCATGTGCCCCCCCCCACCCCCTCCCGTCATCACCACAGCTGAGGAGCCTGTGAGCTAAAACCATTAACCTCCATCTGCTCCAGTTAAACTGCTCAGAGGCCAGATCACATCAGGCTGTGGTTGTACTGGGCAGCTGCCAAGTGGGAATGTGCGCAACTGTGTGAGCGTGAAAGAAAAAAAGAACAATACGAAAGTTTAAAACAATAAGATTGTAATACTGTTTCCTTTCTAAGCGTATTAGCATCGCGGTGTGTTTGAGTCTGACCACTGTCGACCAGGTTGCTGTGGCAACCACGTTAACTTAGTGGGCTAATAAGAAGATAAATAAACGTGTGGTTCGGATTTGTAGCGACTGTTTGACGTCTCTGTGTGTGCATATGAAATAGAGATGGGCCTCGAGTCTGATGTATGTTCAAGAGAAATACATTGCACAAACTGTCAGATAGATAGATAGATAGATAGATAGATAGATAGATAGATAGATAGATAGATAGATAGATAGGGTTGTCATGCAGTACAAACCATTGGGTTTCAGTTGTCTGTCAAAATAGCAGAAATTAAGACTAAATGGGTTCTGATTAAACGCTGAAGAACAGCAAAGTGCATGCTAGAATGGAATTTAAAAAACTGTTAAAGCATTCGTCCATTAAAAAGAAAAGTAACAGTCTTTATAATCTTAATATCTCTTCTTTTCTTTACTCCCTCACTGCCTTTTTCTTCCTTCCTCTTTCTTCCTGCACTTTCTTGATTTTCACCGATCCATCGATCCTTCCTCTTCATGCTTCTTCAGTCCTCCTCTGACAGAGTTTCGTGAGGGGTTGATGGCCGGGACTTGCTGTGACCTCTGACCTCTGTCTTCCTGTCCTGCAGGAAGTCTTGAATCTCTCCGGGCAAACACTGGAACTTCTCCTGAAACTCTGCCTCGATGGTGCCCTGCAGCTGCAGCGAGACAAGAGAACGGTGAATCAGTGAGACATATCTGTGATGACTCAGTTCCCCGGTCAGAAACAACACAGACATTTGCTCGTTTATTTGCCTTGTGTTGAGAAATTCAACCAGCTGTTGTCAGCCATTACTGCCAAACGTTTGAACGGCTCCAATATGGCTGCCAGAGGGCGCATTGCATCACTCAAACGGCCTGTGTTGACGTCAGTACTGATCCTAAACTGTGTGGGTGCGGAGCAGCAGCAGCAGCAGCAGGTTGGAGCCTCGTGTATAAGACATTTCTTGCTGTGTAGCACATTCAAGTGTGAAATATTCAAAGTGGTAGGTGGTGCATTTCACGAGGGCAGGACATCGAATAAATGAACTTCATAATCAGGCCACGGTGGGAAGCTGGAGAGAAGATTTCCACTTGTGTTGTACCTTTGGTTTCTGGTCTTGTATCTCCTGCAGGAGCCCGTTGTGCTGCTCCACCAGCTGATCGTGGCGCTTTGTCTGAGTCTCCTCGAGCTGGAGACAGAAAAGACAGACAGACAGTCAAAGAGACTTTTGAAGCGTCTCATGACTGCAGACAGACACAGCTAACAGCTACACAGAGAGACGGCGCTGAAGCCATAAAATTTTCATCACCGTCTCTGCAGGATTCAGTCTATAGAAAAACCCGTGAAAAATTCCTCTAACCCAGATTCATCATCCTCCGCTCACCCGTTTTATGTTCTGGACGACTTCATTGACGTAGGACTTATTGATCTCAATCTTCTCCCTGGGAACACACAGACAGATGGGTTGAGCTCGGTTGAGTTTGACTAAATCTGACAAAACTTGCTGGAGGAATCTGTGCATGAAGGAGATGAAGGAGCTGCAGCGGGTATCTAGGGTGAGGGGTAGTGGATAAATATCGGCGTGTGTGTATGTGTGTGTGTGTGTGTGTGTGTGTTTATGGATCGTACTCCTCGGCCAGATGCTTCTCTTTGGTCTTCGCTTGGTTGATCTTCTCTGTCCTCCTTCGATCCATCTGTCTCTTCAGCTCTTTTTTCTCCCTGCAGCAGCAGCAGCAGGGAAAACATTAGAGCTAACAGTGGGGGGAGGAAGGAACAACCTGGTATTAAGTTCTCCTAAATTACAAAGTCGTTGGAACTGCACCAGGTAAAAGTCTTGGCTCACACTGAAATAGAAATGTCCCCCAAAGAGTTCGTGTCTAGGCAGTCTTTACATTCAACCATCAACTAGAAATCCTCAAGTGACACTGCTAAAACCTGAAGATAGCTGCTGTCACAGCAGGTGGTTTTTTAGAAGAAACCGTCATCAATCTCCATAAAGGAGCCTCTGCAACAATTTGATGTGAACAGATAAATCATCCAACTCCAGGATTTATCCGATTTATCTCCCTGACATCATCTGAGGGAAGACGACATGTTTTATTGTCTCTTCTTTTAATCTTAAGCCACTAAAAAGCAGCTTTTTAACTTTATTTTTGTTTTTTGTTAACTGCTCTATAAATCTGAAGTGTAAGTTTCATGGCATGAATTTCATCTTGGACATACTATAAGCATGGCGAGCAGTGATGGAAGAGGTACTTAAGTATATATAGTACTAAGTCCTACATGAAAAGTAAAAGTACAGAAGTAATACAACAAGTTCAGTCTAGTGGTTCTTCGTCCAGGGGGCAGATAAATCTGAGGGGTCTTTGGATGACGTTTTTTAATGGGAGAGGAAAGAAGAAGAAGCAGTTTGAAATCACTGAACTGTGATGAGAAGCCTCAACTACACAGTGATTTCTGTGAGAAAAAAATAAAATAAATATCTTAATCTGAAAATAAACTAGTATCTATAGGTTTCAAGTAAAAGTAGCTGAGTGTGGTATTTCCATCTGCATTGTATTAGAAGTATAAAGTAGCTTAAACTGGAAATACTCAAGTAAAGTACAAATACCTCAAAGTTATTCTTCAGTTCAGAAGCTGAGTAAATGTTACTTCTCACGTTTGATGTCAAGATACCAACCTGCTGCGGCCGGGAACAGCTGGAACAGCTGCTCTTCTTCTGGCAGTTATGAAAGGAGCTCAGCTCCTTGTGTGATTCCTCACAGAAATCAAACAAGCTAAAGCAAAACGTGCGCACTCAGGAGACACATTTTTATCTTACTTGTCACAGATGTCTTTGAGCTTCTTCATCTGGGTGTTGTGACTCTCCTCCGCCAGACTGCTGAGTCGCTCCGTCAGCTGGAGGAAACAGAAAATCACACTTTAACACAGAGTTTACTTTTGAACTTCCCGTGTCAAAGGTCACGGTCAGTTTTACCGTTTTTATATGTTCTCTCTGCAGATACTTCTGACTGTAGTACTGCTCCTGCCTCAGAGCCAGGAGCTGCTGCTGCTGCTCGTCTCTCAGCTGCTGGAGGCGTTCGTCTTTCTCACTGTCCGAACACGAACCCCTGATGAACACACACACACACACACACACACACACACACACACACACACACACACACACACACACACACACACACACACACACACACACACACACACACACACACACACAGGGAAAATGATAGATTTCCTCCGGACTTTTTATTTTAGTATACGCCACAATGACATGACATTTTTCCTGTGAACTCAATTTCAAAATAAAATGACGAGAAGAGACAGAAGCTAATAGGCAATAACATGTTGTGTGTGTATGTGTGTGTGTGTGTGTGTGTGTACCGGCTCTTGCTGCACTGTCTGGCCGTTTTCTTGTACTTGTTGTTGAACTCTCGCAGCAGCTCCGACGTTTTCTTCTGGTGTCTTCGTACCAACTCCTTCAGCTCTTTAAACTGACGTCTCTGCTCCTTCTGGTAAACCTTGGTCTGCTGCAGACTCTCTATGGTGCACACTGGGACATCTGTCGCCACACAGCAGACAGAGTATTAACAGACCTTGATAAGAATGAATTGTAAGTTATTTCACATTATTGATATCAATTTTAATCAATCGCCATTGAAAATTCAGATGTTTAACTTTTATAAAGTCTCAGGCAACAAAAAAACAAAACAGAAATTGGATCTTTTAGAAAGAAAGAAAATCTAAGTCACATTATTTTGAGTTGAATGTCAGTTATTCCAGGATTAATTGATTGATTGACTTCATATCAGGAAATTGTTTAAAAGCATTATGACCATTACTGACCAATCAAAACACTTAACACCAGGTCCTCAGTCTTTGCTGCAGGTTTCGGTGCCTCTAAAACAGAGAGGAGAGAATCAACGTCAGTTTTTCTTAACATTAATAAAAACCTAAATTATTGCTAGTATCATTATGACGACTGCGTTGATAGTAACACATAAACATCTTTGAACGCAGGGGTGGGTGTCCTTGCTTGTAGGTGGACGCTACCTGTCGTCGCTGTTTGCTGATTGGCTGCGGAAGCTTTGGGCGTCGTGGCGATGGGGGTGTGTCCTGCAGGACCAGGGGCGGGGCTGAGTCCGTTTTCCAGTGGAGCTGATTTCAGGTCGTTCTTCCGCTCTGCACAGCTGTCGGCTTCATCCTGAAGAACAACACCCACATGAATTACAGCCGCGTGTTCAGCCTCCGGGACGCAGACTAGAAACAGCAGAAACAGGACCGACCTCAGTCTGAGTCTCCTCCTCCCCGTCCTCCAGAGTCAGAGCCGCCAGCTGTTTGGACCTCTGCTCCAGCAGGTTGACATATCGAATGGGGTTGGACAGAGCCTCGATCACATCTGGGGAAGAAAATATAAAGAACCACATGAATACAGAGGGAGGAGTTGTGCTCCAGAGCTCAAAGCATGGACGAACATGGCAGACACAGAGAAATCCCTTTTTAATACAACATGAAACACAATTTAACACCTTTTATATGATATTACCAGACAAAGTATGAAGGAACACCAGTTGGTCTGATACGGCCTAGAAGTATTTATCATTATATCACATATTTGTCAGTACTTCCCATAATTATACAGCAATCATTTCTAATAATATGAATTAAATTAATGTGACCTGGACCTGCATAAGCAGCATTAAACTGGACAGTTGAATTTGAAAGCTTAAGCTTCATACTTTAACATAATTTGAGGCCTTTTATGGGGAAACTAAACTCTTTTTAAGATTTGTCTCCAGTATATTAATGAAATGAATAAAACTCCAGCTGTGTTTAAGACACTGCTCCGGCACATTTTAATAATGTTTGCACACTGTAACTGGAACAAGTTTAAACAACCTGACATGAGAAAAGGCTGCAGGGTCATTAAAATCAAAATGTATTCTCTGTCGAGATCATGAACGCGCTCAGGGGAAAAAGTTACAGGCGTTTGTACCTGCAAAGGTGTCTGGGACGTAGTCTTTGACCTCGATGTAGACGAACACAGCCGGTAGAATCAGAGACTGATTCTTCTCATTCCTCAGGCCGATGTAACGATAACCTGAAGGAAACAACAAACAGGCTGATGTGACGTGTGTTGAGAGAGAGAGACAGACAGAGAGAGAGAGAGAGCGAGAGAGAGAGACAGAGACAGAGAGAGAGAGAGAGAGCGAGACAGAGAGAGAGACAGAGAGAGAGAGACAGAGAGAGAGAGAGAGGGAGAGACAGAGAGAGAGAGAGAGAGAGAGAGAGAGAGAGAGATGCAGCTGAGTTCATTCCAAACTTCAGTCATGCACATTGTGTCAGGACAAAATTGTAAGGAAAAAAATTATTTTATTGAAAGTGGTGAGTGACATTTGAAAACAGCAGATGTTTCTAATGTGTTTTTGAAAACAGTGGGAGACTGGATGCAGTCTGCAACAGGAAGAGAAATATTTATAACATATTTTTCTTTCAAGTTAGGGATTAAAGTAATAATGTGTAACATTTGCATGTAAAGAAATGTGCTGTTTTACTGTCTGACACAGTGCAGTGGTAAAAAATTCTCATCCCACTTCAGGAAAGTTTTTACAGAGTTTTCTGCCGTTGTGCTGAATTTACACAAGCAAGAGATAAACTGAAACACAGAGCAGCGCCTCCGCCACTCAGACTAGTTTCAGGTTACATCCCTGTTTATCCAGAGTCACATATGATATGAACCATTTGTGTCAAAGAGAAAGTTCAGGATAAAAGGGATAAAATAAATATGACTCATTACCTGGACGGATGGCAGACACTGGAATAATCCGATGACCGATAAACTTTCCTCCTTCCTCAAAAGCAGCGATTCTCAGAGAGGCCAGAGTGGGAAGAATCACCTGTCAACAGACGGATCAGACAGTATGAGCACTGACACATGTTTCCACTCAGCTGTTCCCTCCTGCGTCTCCGTTACAAATCTCACCTTTTTGAAGATGATCGGCTCTTCGTCCCACACCGGGTTGATGGCGTTGTTGTTCTGGGAGGTTTTGGTCTTCAGCGCCTTCCTCCTGGTGTCCACAGGAAGTCCAAACATCTCCACCTCCACGTACACGCCCACCCGCCGCTCAGTCAGGAACTGGCCTGAAATCACCTGGGACACGCAGAGACACAGACCAAACAGCCACAAAGACGCAAACAAACGCGTCAGCCTGTATTCCCTCGAGGGTTTCAGGAATATGCAGCGGTGTAGTCAAAGTCTTAAAGCCTTTTTATGTGTCAGATCTTGAACATTTCCGACTTCCTGTGATAACAACACCAGGATTTCCACACAATCGTACATTATAAGATGCTCCAACGTGCAGGTTTACCTTCACAGAGAGCATGTTAGCTACGATGCCGTCCACTGTGTTTTCTGTGAAAGGGTCAAAGTGTTTGTCTGGCCGCCTCATGAACTCCGGCTTCAGTCTGTAGCCGCTGCGACCGTTGTACTCAAACATGAAGAGGTTCAGCTGCATGGACAGGTCTGGAACAGAGAGCTAATGTTAGGAATATAAGAGCTCAGAGCTGTTGCACTCCAGTTGTTGCAAACAGGAAAGGATTAATGAAGTATAATTCTATTCACTTTGGTCTAGACGATGTTAAGTCCCAAACAAAAATGTAATATATGACATGTATATCCCTATTTTAAGAGCCACATATGTCTCCTATAAGGGGATATATTATATTATTACCCTACTGTTTATAATATTAACAAACACTGACTGTACTGGCTGTGTAACATCTGTCTAAAATAAAAGCACACATACATAAATGTATGTATTTGTATAGGCTAGATATATATGTCAATATATGAAATTGTTCCAATTTCTAATAGGTTTCATTTATAATTCTTACATACATGTACATATAAAATAAAAATGTATATTTCATATATGGAAATTCAATATATGTACGTATATTACAGTTGTGTATTTGTGTATGGGTGATCTCAACATAAACTGTTAGCGTCATTACAATATCCAGGTAAATTAAATTCCTTTGTTTTGAAGGTCTCTAAATTCACAGCCCAGCAGGCAGGAGTTGTTTTTTACCGATGGTTTGATAGTTGAGAGCCACCAGCTGACACCCGGCGTTCCAGAAGAGTTGAGGCATGAAGTTTGACGAGTCGACTCTGGTTCCTTTGGGGTAGATACGACTCAGCTGGGATTTATTATATCTGGTTAATGTAAGGTTAAGGACACAGCTGTATTTCAAAGATCAGAAACAAACACATCCTCCACTCACACATGTACAAAACCAAAAGAAAGACATCAATCAGAACATTGTCTGTATGAGTATAACTTTAGAAACGCTTGTTTCTGCACTTATTCATCATCATCATCATATATTCAAGTAGAGTGTATTATTACACCGCTACAGAGCTGCAGAGACTTTCACAGATAATGCTGTTGCTATGTGAATTAAAATTAATATTAAAAGTTGCTTAGTGACTGAGTTTTTTGAAGGTTTATACAAAAAAAAAAAAAAAGCATCAAAAGAGAAAGAAGAAGTAGAAGCAGTTGCTATGGTATGGAGTAGCTGTGGTAACCGTTGCCAAGGATACTCTACAAACTCCACTGGTGACTTTGTGAGGTGCTCCAAAGCTTTGGTCTCCACAAAAGACGACATGTGGTAACAGCGGGCTGCCTCTGTGCGCGCGCGCACACGCACACACACGCACACACACACACACACACGCACACACACACATACATACACACACACACACACAATCAATCAATTTCTCCCTTTCAGATAATTGTTTCATCTTGTTTGACTAAACTTTGCGTAGCTCGTGTAGCAACATGATAAAGGTCAAAATGACACATCACAACATTTATTTATTTATTTACTCATAATCTTGTTAATTCAAGATGAAATGTTGATGTTTGTACAGAGAGAGCTGAGGCATGAGATGAACAGTTGCCACAGCAGGAATCAGTGCGTGGAGGAAGGGATCTGATCTGCTTTTCTTACTCTTGGACGCTTCGAAGGAGTTGAACTTTGTGGGCTGGACGTAGTTCACCAGAGTTGACATTTCCTCCGTGGCCACGGCCTCCCGCTCCGCTGAGCCCTGAAATAAACGAGGAACAGGAACAAAGTGTCAACACTGCCTCCCCCCCTTGTTCGGATCAGAGCTCTGGCTTTAATGGATCTCATGGATGCATCACTTCCAATAACATGCGCTGGGTAAATGTTTGTGAGGCAACAGATTCAACCATTACTTTTTTTTTTGGGGCCTGAGCTCCAACAAGTTGCAGTCAAACAACAGCAGCGACACCGTCTGACAAACAGTAATAAGAACGTAACGACAAGAGTAAACAGCAAAACATCCACAGACACTTTTATAACACAAACACACACACACTTGTTTAAACCTAGTCTCGCAATCTGTGTCCAATTCTTCTCTTTCCTATAATGAATTGTGATTTTTTTTCTTTTTTCTTTCTGTTTCATATTTTTCTTCTTCTTGATGTGAATAGAGATGTTTTCATCAGCAGTTTTGGGGGCGTTGTTTGTGCCACCCCCTTTCCCTCCTCCACATTTCCCCCAACATTCATCTCATCTGTGTGTGAAGATGCACTTAATAAAAACCCAATCAAACACCCCTGAAGCTGCGGACGACTGTGCACACCCAGGAAAAGAAAACGAGACAACAACAAGGGAAATAAAAGGCAGAGGTAAACAGCGAAAATAAAAGCACACGTGACGACAAAAAGCAGCAAGTGTTAACAACAACAACAACAACAACAACAACCACCGAGAACATTAAGAGTCAATAACAACAGTAACAATGACGATGGCACAAAAGAATAAACGGCAACACGATGAAAATAAACAACACTTTATAAATAAACATCAACAAATGGCGACAGCGGTGAGAGTGAGCGACCCTCGGCTCTGTGTGACGTCACCACTGACCTTTTTACCATCATCATCGTCATCATCATCATCTTCCTCACTCTCAGCCTCCATCTCTGTTAAAATTAAAGTTAAACAAGTCTTCATCCTCATCAGTCTCTTCATCGCTTCTTCTCTAGAATAAAACTGATACTGATAACAAGTCTAATCAATCAGTGACAAGGCAGACTTGTAATCAGTTAGAAGGGGTTCACACGTCAGTAAATTTAGCCGCAGGTGAACAGCTGATCAAATATGAAGACGATTTATCAAACGGAGAGATTTCTGTAAAAAAAAAAAATGAACCAACAGTAGATAATCACTCATTCACGATATCTGTGTGACACATAACAAACTCAAACCTGTGCAGCGATTGTCCAACACACACAAAAGATCTGGATTATAACCAAACACAAGCCTGTGGTTTTTGTAAACAACCCGCTGCGTTAACCTCTCTGCAGGTGATTATTCAGTCCGCTCACTGACCACAGGGTCACAGTCAGTGTGTGTGTGTGTGTGTGTGTGTGCATATATATGAGTGTGCACTTCAGCAAAGCGTCTGGTCTGCTCTCTCAGTCCCAAGACCTGTTTCCAGGTTCTGCACATCAGGTGTGTCAGCAGGGATCCCTAACGTCCCCCTGCACTGCTGTTTAATTGCTGCTCTGAGCCGCCCGACCTCTTCTGGGATGTCCTGCTCATTACTGAGACAGATTCCCTGATGAGGACTGCACAGGAAAAATTCAGCGAGACATCAGCGTGAGCGGATCCGTCACTACGGCCGGAGTCATGATGGAAATGATCCCTGAGTAACGTGAGGTAACCTCTGACAGAGACACTTCTAATGAGACCTGCATCCAGAATGTGTGACAATAATCTTGTGTGATAACCATGTAATTTAAATGATATTTGTCGCATTTCCTTCCCTTTTTCCAAATCCTTCCCATCTCTCTCACCTTGGCTTTGTTCAGTAAAGACGCAACATGGCGCCATCGCGGTACTTTTACAAAACAAAGCTGATTTGGTGGTGACTCATGTTGCCGCTCTATGTGAAAACAGTTTGAATGATTCACACACACACACACACACACACACACACACACACACACAAAATACCCCACTGTAATTAGAGGCTGAATAGTCTTTAGCATTAACAGCCATATGAAGCTCTCCCACCCTGAGAGGCCGCAGAGCGATTTATTGTCCTGTTTTGTGTTTGGATACAAAGACCGTCGGTGTGTCACAGCTGAAACACATTTCACGTGGATTTCTGGAGAAAAAAAAAGTGATTTTGTCTTTGTGTCTTACCTCCTGTGTTGTTGCTAGGAGACACTGGATCGTTGCTCTGATTGGCAGGTTGGTCCGTCAGTCTCTTGGTGTCGGTGTTGTTGGAGGGTTTGTGGGATTTCTTGTTCTTGATGACAATTTTGCCCATCAGCTCCTGAGGACTGGGCAGGGGGACACCTGACTCCAGCTACACACACACACACACACACACACACACACCACACCACACACACACACACACACACACACACACACACACACACACACACACACACACACACACACACACACACACAAACTGTCATGATCCTGTGTGTGTAACTTATACATTAGTTGTAGTCAGCGATACTACAGTATATATATGATTTGTTCCTACAGGGTATTTGTCCAGAGGGTCGATCAGCAGCGCATCTCCGAAAATGGATCGACAGTATTCAGCCATCTTAGCCTGCTGCTTCAAACTGACAGGCGGACAAACAGATAATTAGATAGATAGTTCATCATCTCGCGCTGCAAGATCAATCAACACGTAAATAATGAGAGAGATCCTCACGAGTCCACGTGGTTCTCAAAGGAGAGTATGACAGGAAAAGGAGAGGTCTTGAAGGCGCACTCTGCGATGGCTTCGATCACTTCCTGCAAAATAAGAGACACAATGACAACAACACTGAGAGGACTAGAAAATAAATAAAAGCAACTTCAAACCATCACGGATATTTTGAAAAATGTGATAAGACCATACACTGCGTTCGTCACAGGAGAACAAACAATCTCTTTCTTTAGTTTTAAATGTTTCCTGTGTTTTCCACGACCAAACTCCGTCACTGCCGAAAGAAAAATTCACCGTCCAACTTGAGAGAACACGTCGAGGTATGTATGTTTGTTTAATTCCAGGTAAACTTTCAAACAGACAGCTTAGTCGTAGTTGCCATTGGCCATTTCTAGAGGCTTTTGTAGTGCGTTCTCAAAGCTTTTTATTCTACAGGTTCTATAAGTAAGTCTCAAGTAAAAATATGACTGAACAACTGGAACATTTCCTCACAGAGGAGATAAAATTAGCCCCAGAAAACAGACAATTTCATAAAATGCAGTGTCAAACAGACAGATAATGCAGTAGATAAGGAAGGTTTTCGTCACATGACCTCTGAGAACAGGTTCATATTTTATAAGCAGGTCAGAAACGAAGAGAGGAGCGAGTTCATGTAGGGCTTTAAAGACAACCAACCAACTCTAAAACCATCCTGGAGACAGCGAGGAAACCTGAGCTCAGGTGTGACGTCATCAAAGTCTAACAGCTGGATTTTTTGACGCAGGAAGTCTGACAAACGTTATCAAAGTACAAGGAATTGCTAAATTATTATTTAAAAAGGTACATTCTGCCAAATTGCACGACAAGAATAAAACTCCGCATTTACGACAGCTTTAAAGGACTCGTGATGCTCGGGTGTGCCTTAAATCACCTTAAAAGAGATTTCTGACGTCATGGTGAAGCCGTGTGTGATGACAGGTTCCTCCTCAGCGGTTCTTCCTTTCCACACGTCCAGTTCCACACAGCGGCATCCTGCCAGGAGAACCTGCCTGTACATCTCCACTGAGGAGCTGCCTGCCAGCTGGCCCGCTGCGACACGGGGACAAAACATCACAGCATGAGACATAATCACACATTACAGTACAAAGCAACAACTTGTCTACACTCACGATGATTAGAATGACTTTTTTAATTAATGACAGGTCGCAAAGAAAATAGATTACGACAATACTGCGGCTGTATTTTCGAGTGAGACCACCCAGAACACAAACCAAACCTCAGTCTGTCGGCCACGGCTCAGGCTCAGTCCCAGCAGCTGTTGGATCAGTTTCAACCAGTGGTAATGATGGTTGGTTCTGGTAACACAGTCCTGCGTATTTTTATTTTTTTTTTAGGACTAATTTTCAAACCAAAAAAAAAATTCACAATGCTGCAAACGCACGTCTGATGTCTTAATGGAGGTGCTTGTTGAGAGTGTCACTGTGAAGGACTGTAACGGCTCACAGAGACTGACGTTCTGCTTTGTTCACAGAATTTAAACTGTCATCTTGTAATTTCTCTGCTGTTCGTACCAGCTATGAAGTGAATGATTATATTATATTATATAACAGCTAAGCACTAAAATCAGTCCAGACTGTGGTTCATATTCTTACACGCGTCGAAATAAATCAGCCACCGCCCCCTCACAGCTGCACAATCCTCCAGGCTGATGTCGTTTCCTCGTCGCGCTTGAAAGTCTTTCCTCACAAACTCCAACAGCGGCATTAATCGTGTTGATGCAAAGTGAGGGGGTGTGTGCATGTCCTGTATGTGCGTACCTGTCAGGTAGGTATTATGTGATGACTTTATGAAGTAGTGGGACAGGGGGAAGCTCATGTCTTCAGACTGGTCCAGTTTCTCTGGTGGAATAACTCCATTCTCATCACTGGACAGATAACTGGAGAACGCCTGGACAGAAATCATGCCTACACACACACACACACACACACACACACACACACACACACACACACACACACACACACACACACACACACACACACACACACACACACACACACACACACAATAAAAACCGGTTAAAGGAACAAAATATCAAAAGCACAAAGTCTTTCATAAAGTCGAAATCTACCAAATATAATGTCCTTTCTCTGTTTAAATATTTCATGAATACTTAAATGCCCTTTGGGCTGTTTCTTAATATCTTGATGGTTTTTAAACTATCAAAAAAAACAAAAACAAATATTCACTTGTCTTTCCGCCATGAAGCAATGTGTGGAGATTATTACATCTCCCTCAACATGACAGAATAATTCCCTCACGTCTCTCCCGTCCTCACACCAACAGCCTCTTCTGAACAGACCCATATGAGCTCTTAGGTCTGCTTCCCTTCTCCATGAGGTTTAGTTCATTTTGGCCAAGTAAACTAACTACTTGACGTGGGTTAACAATTATAATTTCTCATTACTTCCTGTTTTGCTCCTGAATATAAATAAAGGTCATTTTAAAACAATTAAACAAACAACAAATGGTGTAATTCTGCGGAGGACACATCACTCGTTAACTCTGAGGTGAGTGTTTATTTCAGATTTTAATGATATTGTGAGTTCTTTTTTTTAATAAATATAATGAATCTTAACACAAATTAAACGTACAAATCAACAAAACAAAAGAGTGTTAGTGAAAATGTTTGACTTCATATCGATGATGGAGAAAACATACTCATATCCTAAAACAGTGTTTTGAATATCATAATATTTTGTAGTTTTAAGTAACAGCAGTTTACTAATACGATGACCAAACGATTAATCATGTAGATATGAGTCAGTGAAGTTTTCAGAATCAAGGGAAAACAGAAGCAAAGAGACAGAAGTCTTAGTCTTATTTAGGTGAAAAAAAAGATTCCTACAAGAGTTGGTGCTGGATATTTGAAGTGAGTGCCAAGTTTTCTTCTCGCAGGATCCAACACGAATGTGAGGACCTGAAGTTCTTATTTTAGCAGTTTACTCTCTGTGGGCATGTGGGAGGCTACAGGAGTATTTTGGTATCAATCCATGTGCACACACACAAACGCACATGTTGCTAACAAACACAGCTGATGACATTTTTACATGTGTAGGAATGTGTTGGAAAAATATCAAAGATGTGTTGTCATGTGTTTGTGCGCGTGTGTTTGAGTGTGTAAGTGTGTGTGTGTGTGTGTGTGTGTGTGTGTGTGTGTGTGTACCTTGCTTCAGCTGTGCCTGGTCATGCTGGTACCTCTCCATTACAGTGTGCGTCTGTGCAGGACGAAGAGGCGGGTAGAGGATTTCGTTCAGCCTCGGGTCTCTCTGTTTGTTATTGATGAACTCTGTCATCTGATCGACGGACAAGGCCCCGTCCTTCCCTCCTCTGCAGAGCAGAGCAAAGGTCAGGGCTCAGGTTAGAGGGAGGGAACTGCAGGACGTGCACAGATCCTTACAAACTATTCACATTTAAGGCCTTAAAGTATCAAAATGTTAAACGTCGTCAAAGTTTTGCAATGACTTTTTCCCCCGTTAGCATCGCTTTCTTTAGACCGGACAATTTAGAACAGACAAAAATGATTAAGAAGAAGACGACAACATGAGTTCTGACAACATGTGACATGTATTTGCCCTTATTTTTTGACATTTTACAAACTAACGAATACATGGAATGACTGACTTTGAATTTGCTGAACACAATAGATTTAAGACTTTGTTTAACACTCTAACACACTTACATCCTCTCTTTAATCCTCCTCTGTGCACAAGTGGGACACAAGATGAATCATTATTCATCATTCTTCCCATATCAAAGAAATTGGCCCGAAGCAAATAACAACACGCTTAAAAAATCTCATTTTGCAGAGCAGCTTCTTCAACATTAATAAGTCTTTGAGCTTATCTGAGCTCGGCGCCTGTAAATCAGGTGAAGGATTTTTTTTAAACACTCACTGCAGTTTAAAGATGTTGCTGAGCTCAGGACGAGGACACAGGCTTTCCAAAAAGCTCTTGTAAACTTCAAGCGTGAAGTCCTCCAGTTTGATGCCGTCACCCTGTCGAATATATAAGACGTGGACACTGACATAAAGGCAACCGAAACTGCCATCGTCAAAAGCAGTCTGTTAGCCGCCAGCATTCAGCATCTCCTGCTTTATCCTCCTTCTACTTGCTATAAAAAAATAAAAATAAAAAAGTTCTAAAACCTTAAACCTTCTCTGTTAAAACGAATCTTTCTGTGCTCACAGGAATATTCAATGTGAATATGACTCTTTCCATTTTTTTGCTTTTTACTGGTTGCTTCAAAAATTGATGACCCAGATATCTGAGCTCATTTCACCCCTCCATGCACTGTGAGTCACTCTGGACAAAAAGCCCCAGATAAAAGCCTTGACGGCAAATAGAAAAGCAAGAAATTGAAAAAGTCTGTGTGTCTTACACGTGTTTATCCAAAGGGAAGAGGCAAGAGATTTTAAATCATGTATCCATGGTATATTTAACTTAATGTTACTAATGATTAAACAAACTGTGTTTACCCGTCCATAGGGCAGTCTGCAGTTCTCCAAGGCATTCTCCACTTTCTTTCTGTCTGATGAAAACAGTCGGACGATGCTACAACACACATGACATCACACCATTATCAGCTCATCCTTAACCACAGCATGTCACCAACCCCAAACCTACATTTTTACCTCTTAAAATATCTCCCCCCTAATTAAACACCCCAAATTTACTTCTGTAACTCCCCCAAATGTCCTCTGACTCCACAAAACTTCTTCCTTTATCACAATCCCAAAACCAGATTTTAAAGCTACGTATTTTACACTTTTCTTGTGTTTTATTAAAAGTGTTGATCCATAAGAAGATATATTTGTGGTTTTAAGAACCAAAAAGCATCTCAGTGTAGTTTTACATCTCCTGTCTCAGGCTTCTCTCTGCAGCTCTAGTAACAACCGGTCGGTGAGCCAATCAGAAGAGAGGAGGCTCTGAGTCTCTCTTCTGATTGGCTGACTGTTTTCTGAGTGATTGAATAAAAATATAGCTTTCAGATTTCAGATTTCAGATTTCAGGTAAAACACTCAGAGAAACCAAATCCTGCGAGTGTTGGTTGGTGTTTCTGGTTGGGCGGGGTTTGGGGCATGACTGAGAGCGGTGACTGCTTTGTTGTGACATCACAAAGGTACAGGAAGTCCTGACTGCTCGTTTTAAGGCTCAGTTTCTGAATACAGCATTAACACAGAACCTGGACCCGCTTTATAATAATAAAAAAAGACACTGACCTTTAAACAATTTCACCCCAACAATGTGGATTTCCTCAGTGTATTTCCCAACCACTCTCAAACCCTATCCTTTGACTTCCAAGAATTATCAAATGACCTTAATTCTGCTCCTGGTTTGCCTCTAAAATCCATCATAACTGTATTATCCGTCTCATGCTCTGGCAGTGGTTGATTACCAGGTCAGAGCTGAATTAAGCACCTCCATGAATCCTGTCCCTGTTTTTGCTTTCCCAAGTGCACATGGAATTAAGTTTATTTTTGGAAGCGAGGGACAGGAAAGAGCAAAGTTTAAGTTTGTGCGTGTCTCTGCAGATTTCGCCAGGCTATTTTCTCACATCCTCAGCCATCGGCTCTAACATGTGCCTCAAAGTTAACTTTCAGACAGAACCATTGATTAAAGATTAGGAAAGTAATGGGAATGATCAGTGACTCACTTCTTGACGGGGATTCTCCCCTCTGCGTTCGGCTGGAGAGTTAACTTGACATACCTGAAACACAGAGATACAAGGACTGTCAGATGTATATCACAATGTCAGATCTCAAGGCACTACCCAGCAAAATGAGGAGGAGTTTAATATAAAACCTATCAGTGCATATGAGAAGAATTATTGTGATCATCAGCAATATTTGTTGTCTTGAGGGGAAAAAAACGGTACTTTATCAAATGGAGGTCTGTGGGATAAGCCACACTTTGGATATCGTAGCTGCAAAAATATTTCTGACCTTTGAAGTAATATTTCAAGGTAGGTAGAAATTTAGTAGAAAATGATTTTTTCAAGATAAAGTTATGTTTTGATGGAGGACACAGACACATCTGAATTATTCTGGTCGCAGATCTAAGAAAAGGTGGGAACAACATCGTCGGTGCCACAGATGCTGAATCCTAGATTTCACCAACGTAGCAGCCGACAGTCTATTAGCTTCCTAACTCTTCCTTCCCTAACACTTCCTTCACAGACGCTGCGTGGACACAGCAGCATTACTCTTGGACACTTAACCTGTGATCTGATGCAAACTCAGTGGCTTCACAGTCCGTCTGAACATAGTCTCTTGATCCTAAACCATGATCCTCACTGTTGGTTTTGGTCTTTTTTTGGGGATTTGCAGACAATAAGAAAGATAAAGAATATCACCAGACTTATCCTTTCAATAGGCCGAAGATGAAGTGTGTTTGAAGAGTGTACAGGCATGTAGTTGTTGTGTGTGTGTGTGTGTGTGTGTGTGTGTGTGTGTGTGTGTGTATACTCACGCTTTCAGCAGACTGCGGTCTCTGTTGAGATTGTGGCTCAGCAGATTGGAGGACAGAGAAAACAGTTCCTCACACCACACCTAGTGAAATCAAATTATCATCATCATCATCATCATCATCATCATCATCATCATCACCGTCATCATCACCGTCATCATCATCATCATCATCATTTGCCTTGTCTGGTTTTATTCCTATTGTAAAGCACTCTGTAACTTTGTTAAGAAAAGTGCTGTGTAAATAAAGTTTATTATATCAATCATCATCAGTCTCTGACATCATCACCGCGCTGAGCTCAGCACCTTGGCCTCGTCCTCCTGTGAAGCGATGAAGTTGAGCTGGTTGACGTTTACGAGGTCTGAAGCCGTAACCACGGTAACCATGCGGTTCTCCAGACGGCCAACCAGGTTTCCCACATCCAGCAGCTCCCGCAGCTTGGCCTCCTATTGGACGACACAGAATGAAAGCTGTCGGCCGCTGCAGGCTCGCAGAGAGGAGATGGACGAGGTGAGGGCAGACGCAGATGGAGCGTTCTGCTCTTGTGGTGTTAGAGAGGATGATGTGTCTCACATACAATCAAAGTTTATATCCTGTGTGAAATGTTGTATTTTAAAGTTTAACAGCTTAGAAATGTGTTTGCAAAGACACAATAGTTTTGTCTATTTGAACTCAGCCATCTGAAATATATGTGGTCACTATATTTTTCACCAAGCTAACGGTACATGTGACTTTTTCTTTCTTGACTGACGAAGCCAAACCGCCGGTCTTCTGCAAACTGGCAATATGTTGGGTTTTGGAGGTCACATGGGCTCATACCTGCACTACAATACACCTCCAATACACCTCCAATACACCTCCAATACACCTCCAATACACCTCCAATACACCTCCAGTTCTTCCAATTTTTTAATAAACTTTATGTATCTGCTGCATTGTGGCATTTACAATAACACTGACTGGCACATTTGGAAACATCCACATATCTACAGCTCAAAATCAAAGTGCGAGATACTGAATGTCTCAAATATGATGTCATCTTGAAACAGCAATGGATAAAAGCAAATGTTATGTCAAGTCAGTCATAAATTAATCTTATGTGAGTCTGCTTTGGTATATCATTTTTATAAACCTAATTCCAACAAATGTGACTCTTTCTGTTATTGGAGCTGAAGCAATGCGATCATCTGTTGTTGTCTCCTCTTCTACCTTATGTGTCAAGTTTCTCAATGCAGTTATTTTTTTTTTAAAGAATTTGTTGAATTCCCACCTCACATAAAGATGTGAACATCAGTTTCTGGTTGACAAAATAAATGCACAGGTAGTGGAGGAACAGAGCGAGGACATTATCGGAGAGTTGTGAAGCAGCCTTCCTGAACATGATTTAAAATGAACAATAAACATCATATTGTTTCTTATTTATAGAGCGATTTTTGAGCAACATATGCAAAGAGCTTTTCTAGTGGTAGAAATCCAAAACACAATGACAGGACATAAGCAGCTTCAAAGCATTAAATACAACACAAAAAAACTCACACTGAAAGAATAAATCACAGATAAGAAAGGGATTGGTTAAAGATAAAAGCCAAACTCACTATAACAGAATAATACCAGCTACGAGTGATAATACAAGTACAAAGTAAAATACTGTTCAGTGAGAGGTCACTGAGAGGTCAGTGAGATGCAGCGGGCGAGGAGAGAAGAGTCTCTAAGGAGAGAGGCAATGCAGGAAGGAGATAACATAGACCTGACACACAAAGGGGAAGCAGAGGTGAACGGACGCAGAGAGGTGACGGTACCTTCGGTGTCTTGGTGCTTCGACCTGTTCTGACGTCTTTGACGAGGGTCAGGTCCAACAGCTCTGTGTCCTAATGGAAACACACACAAACACAACACAAACACAACACAAACACACACACACACACACACACACACACACACACATACACATACACACACACACACACAGTCAGCTGTTATCTGGCAGGTAAGTGCTTCATCCTGTTTCCTGCTAAGGATTTCAGCCCACCCGGAGAGAAAGAGAAAGTGAGCATGTGGATTTGTGACAATCAATGATTACATGCTGTCTATATGCCTCTCCGTGCAATTCCTATTCAGAGTTGTTCCTGCAGCTTTTCATCATACATATATGTACAGGTTCTGTATATACACACATATATATATATATATGTATATGTATATTTATAGCACAAACATTTACAGTGTTCACATCCAGTACATATTTGATGAATTGACTGTTTACTTGTTTGGCAGTATTAAAATGTAAATGACATGTTCATGGTTATTTTTGCTATTTGCAAGTTTTTCTTTAACACGTACGCTCATGTAGGAAAAAGAAATTTACATACTGCATGCTTTGAAAAGAACGATCGGCTCTGATGTGTGAAACATTGACGATGTCATGTTTTTTAGAAATCATGCACCAGTTTTAAATTAAGAGCCAAAGTGAAACCTCGAACTTCCTCGATCAAAATCCAACCTTGGAACAGTCTCTCTCAATAGCATAGTGTATGGCTAGCGTCGGGGGTTTACAATAGAATTGTATGTTATTTTACAAAATATCTAATGTTGCTGTTAATGTTTTGAAGGGGTCTATAAGAAACAACATGTCCCACCATCCATAGACATTTGCAGGCTTAAACGTCACGGCTCGAGAGAAGAGGTGAGTCCATGGGCGAGACGAGCTATATGTTATAACCTATGTAAATCATGCCATTTTAACTCCTGAGTTTGTTACTTTTCTGTGTCACGATATCCTGAAATGTATCTGACATTAATACAACAAGCAAAAAGAAGAAATCTGCTCAAATCCATTTTTTTAAAGTTTAATTGGAGTCAGTATAACATGGTTAGCTCTGTTTCACTATTGAGTTAGCATCAGCTTAACTGTTAGAAAGAATCAACTGCATCAAGTGTTGTTGCCAAGGAAACCTGCAGCTATTACCTGCAAATTAACAGTGGTTAAACTGTTGAAATGAACTAATGACCATGACTTCAACTAATATGTTAATAGTTGATGCATGTTATTTAAAGTCCAAACTATGATGTTTACTGAACTCTGCACATTCATGAGTCAAATTGGGACTTCATTGACTACCATGACTCTTTTTAAGCTACACTTGTTCCTCATCATCTGGCCAGTCAACAATATACAAGTAGATCTATATGTAGAGGCATTTCAAGACCATGTGTGTCTGGGTGTATATGTGTATATGTGTACCTTGTTTTGTTCAGTCCAGTAGAGGTAAAATCCATGTGGATCCACGTACAGAGTCACTGGAGTAACAGTTGACAGATCCTGAAGTGGAACCAGTGAAAACATTAAGAAAACCTCAAGAATTATGACAACAGCAAACAGCTTTCAAAAAGAAAAAAAAGAAAAAAATCACAGGCAAAAAAAAAAAGCAGTGTCCTTCATAAAAAGTAAAAATCTCCTCCCACAGTGCAATGGATCAATGTTAACTGGTGAAATAGGAAAGAGGTTGTGAATACATTGTTATATCATCACTTTTTAACTTGATATGACTAATTTGTTAGCGAACTGTTGCTCAGTTACACATCCACCAGTTATGGAGCAACATTATGATTGACATTGAATCACGTTTCCCTCTCTTTTAGCTTTGTTTTATTATGTTCAGCAGCTAGTCTCTGAGTCTGTCTGCTGTTTTGCTGCTGAGCAGGTAGCGGACAGTTGGCTTTTGCTGTTGCTGAAAATAATACGTGAGAGCGACGAGAGTGAAGCAGAACAGTAAAGTTGAGGGCCAGACAAGCTAAATAATGAGCTGAAACTCACTGTAAAGCTCTGTAAAGCCGAGGGGAGCTGCGGATTCAGGTGATAATTCTCTGTAGGTTCATCACTACGAGTGACACAGATTTCACAATGTCTTTTTATACTTTGTTATGATTAAAATATCAATTATAGCTGCTTTAAGTAGCCATATATAAAAACTACTTTTACTCAACACTATATATTTCAGTTGTCATAAGTGTCCAGAATCAGTAAACACTTACGAGTGGGCTCATTAAACAGGAAACACCATGGACACAGCATAACTCCTCCATGTTTCAGACTAATGTTCTGTTAAGTTGTCACGACATCCAACTTTGTCCCTGTTGCCATAGTAACCCACCATGACAGTTTCTAATTGGCTCCAGGTGGAACCAAACAGTGCAGCTGTCCTCATGTTTTGTTGTTTGAAAAATTTTTGCACTTCATATGAAATGTGTGTTTCAGAGGACGAGTTCATGTGGCGAGCAGCTGTCGACTGCTGCTAAAAAACAAAACAAATCTTTGTTAACACATGCAATACCGCTGGCTAATAAGAACACACAGCAAACAAATTAGATTATAATATCTAAAATAAACTGGGACTACAACATTTGATTCCAAAAATGAAATGATAAAATCTTGACTGGTGTATGTGTATGTTTTCCATCTTACAGCAAAACTGCTGAAGTCAGAATGAACTAAAGACAAAAGCAAACTGTTGAACAAGTGCTTTGTTTTAATTGATTCAATAGTCAGTAGTTGCACAGAAGTGTATTTATTTTTGAGCTGGTCGTGCAAACTCTTTCTTCACTGTTAAAATTTGGGCCAAAATATAATGGCTTCCAAATTTCAGCTAGAATATGGTTCACATTTACATATCTAGAGTCAAAGATGAGAAGTTACAAGGTTTCAGGTGATAGGTCAAACATAAAAACCTGACGTTCAGAAACTTCAGCTGAATGGAATCAGTGGTGCATTCACAATAACTGAGAATAAGAAAATAAAACAGGACCCAGGGAGGAGCCTTGAGGTACCTCACAGGTAATTTATGAATGTCCACATGTTCAAATGACAGAAAAGTAAATGTATACAGGGTGTATACAGTGAGAAGATTACCAGGTATAGTTATCTTTAAAATTTACTGAAGTGATGAGTTTGACCAGCATAAGTGTTTTCAACCTGAGAAAACCCAATCAACATTTGACCATATATGGATTTTTGTTTAATGACACTCACATAGACAGATGCAATAATAAAGACTTCATAGTGAATGACCAATTAAAATAAGTGACTAAGGTTAAGAAAAGATTTTCATAAATGATTAATCATTTCAAGCAAAACTTTCAAACAATTCACAGGTATCAGCTTCTCAAATGTGAACATTTGTTCAATTGTTATCAAAACAATTGATAATGAAATTAATTGTTAGTTGAAGCCTCTTAGTTCTCCTATGATGGAGTAATACTACCTCGCCATAGGTTTTCTGTGTGTTAACTTGATACAGAGCAATGGAAGAATGAGCTCAATAGAAACTAAAAGGGTTAAAGTCTTGAAAACGAGATTTTGAGATATTGATTCCGAGGCTTCAACCTTGTTGATATCGTACTTCAGTGGTACAACTTTCTGTCAAATTTACGATTAATCAGATTATGCAGATCCAAATAATATGCAGTAAACCTTGGGCTTTTGGGGCCCCTGGGGTTCTGGAGACCCAAGGTAGTTGTCCGCATTGCTCAGTCGGTGATGTAGCCTTGAGTTTTTCAATTAAGTTTGGGGTCATTTAGAAATTAGAAACAGATCTGCAGTTTCTATGAAAGGTCACAGACTGTAAAAAGCACATTTGGTGACCTGCTTTAGGAAACCAGCTGTGTTTTTTTTTTTTTTATACTGGCAGCATCTCTTGTGGTAAAACAGTCTGCTATAATATTTGTACAGATGTCAGTGCTTATGAAGTTCTGTACATGTCTTTGCATGTTTGAAAAGGTCATGGATTGTGCTGTCTGAGCGGCTCACCTCGTCACGGTGCAACCTACATTCAGAAGAATAAAAAAACTCGAAGGAAAAGCTCAGAAGATGGTTAACTAGATCCCTGGTTGTCACTTGTTGGCATGGCAACCGATTCTATTTTTCATAAAGCTCAGCTCTACATGTTATTCAAATATCAACACACACACACACGACACACACACACACGGTGAATAGATTCAACAGTATATTGGATTAGTTCTTCTGTAAGTATGATTCATGATATTATATAGCTCAATTCACTGATACACACACACACGTACGCACACGCACAGCCAAACAAACATCCATTCTTCCTCACACACATCAGATCTGTTTAGGTGGTGGTAACCATGCCAGTTACCATGGCAACCGGACAGCACGTTTCTCATTGTCAGGGCTCTGGGCTCTGTACTTCAGCATACCAACACACGCGCACACGCGCGCACACACACACACAGAGCTCTGCAAATATCTACAATTATGCATTTGACTGTGACACATGAAGGCACTGGAGGAGTCGTGCGTGTGCGTCTTTTAAGTGCACGCACGCATGCACACACACACACACACACTACAGTAGATGCATACTAACAGATTCCATACCAACAGGTGGCAACAGAAAGTGACCACAATTGCATCTCACGTGCACACACTCACACTAACGCACACACACATACACACACACACACACACACACACAGTCACTCTCCTCACTGTCTTGCTGGCGTCTAATCCACAGGTACTTACTGCCAAAGCTCAATCAACAAATGAATAGTAAACACATCTGACAACATGGCACATTTCCTCCTCTTCCTCCTCTTAATGTCTCACTCCAATTCTATTCAACTGGATTCGATCCAGTTAAGCATGATGATCTTATTCTCATGTTGCCAAAATATATGCATGTATCTAAAAATAAGTCAAACAAAAATAATGAATGAAATTGAAAAAGGAGAAAATAATAAAAGCTGGCTGCTTGGCGTGCGCTTCTGTTTGATGTTTTTAAGTACTTAAGGAAAATGAGTGTCCTTACCTCGTCCCATTTAATGAAGTTACTTCCGTTCCTCAGTGTGTGAGAGACGGAGGGAGTCTGGAGTTTCAGTGCGTGGACCCCCGGCTGGGCGCTCGCCATGGCTTCACACACATTCACACGCGCGCTCTCACACACACAAACTGGAGATGCTCAGGCTCAGACACTCGGATGCTGCATCTCTATCAAGTCCGAGTCCAAACTCCACAGAAGTCAGGCAGAGATGCTCAGCTGCAGCACCATCCCCTCCTCCTCCTCCTCCTCACATTTGCTCCTGTCTTTTGGCTGCACTTGTCTTGTCTTTCTCTCTGTTCACTCTTTTTTTTTTTTTAAATTTCAGTGCTTCTTCCACTCTCCTCTTTCACTCTGCTACGTCTCCTTCCTCTCTACTCTCTTTTCTTATCCCTCCCTCTTCTCCTCTTCCTCCCTCCCTCTGCTCATCTCCCCCTCTCTTCTCTGTTGGTGCTGCATCTCACAGAGAGACAGACTAAAACAGATGCCTTCGTGGGAGACAGGATACGTGTGTGTGTGTGTGTGTTAGTGTGTGTGTGCGTGCACTGCCTCCACAAATTGACTCATCGGCGACATGCGCACAATGGCAGCTTCCCACAGATGGGGGAGGGATAAGAGAGGGAGAGCAGGAGCGACAGAGAGAGATAGAGAGAAAGAAAGAAAGAGAGTGTGGGAGAGATGGAGAGAAATGAGAAGTGAAGAAGAGGAAGGGTAGTAAAGGAGAGAGAGCGAGAGAGAGCGAGAGAGAGAGAGAGAGAGAGAGAGAATAAAGAGCAAGTGGGAGAAAAAGGAAAGGGAGTGGGCGATTTAGTCGAGAGTGAATCAAACCAAACCAGGATTACGGTCAAATAAGGCCACATATGAATTTACACTACATTGCCAAAAGTATGTGGACACCACACATTACACTAGTATGCGACTCTCACTCCTAACGGGTATTAACCTGCTGCTGTGGTGTTGGTGTCTGATGGGGTTGAGGTCAGGGCTTTGTGCAGGATAGTCGAGGGGTAGGGGGGGCTGATACTACTGATTCTAAGTCTAAGTCTTTAATTGATTTATTGTCTTGATATCAGATTCAATAAATCACATTCTCATCAATCATTTGGTGGTAATAAACAATGTATTTAGAGGTAGCCAATTGATGATGCATTCACCTCATAATAATTAATGACATATTGGAAGTGGTATTTATAAAGTTGATTCTGGCCCTGGTTTTATTTGGAGTTCCACTGAAATCAAACGTTATAGTATCTCCAACCCCGACCTTTCAGGCCCTGGCTTTGTGCACGAGCAAATTATCATGTTGACACAGGAAAGAGCCACAAAGTTAGAAAACGCTATGTCTATAATATCATTGTTTGCTGCAGCATTAAGATTTCCCTGAACAAGAACTATGGGGTCTCGGCCAAAAGTATTTACAGGAGTGTAGACTGTATTTAAAATACACATGCTGGCGTTAGATTTTTATGTTGACAAACACAGCTGATTATAACAGAGGAAGGAAGAGAGTGGGCGAGACATTGGAGATTGAATAATTGACGATATTGTAAAACAACAGTGTCTCCCTTTTGGTGTATGAACACTCCAGTAAATGAGAGATCATGATTAAGAGTGAGAGTGTGTGTGTGATGATTCAGAGGAGCAAGCTGCAGATAAGGACACGACCCTGTGACTGTCTGTAATATCTGCCACTGTTTGTTGTGTTTTAACAAATCCAGTCGTGTTTCTGTGAAGCAATCTGTGTAAAACATCTGAAGTGTTTGCAGAGCAGCAGACAACAAAAATAAAATACTAATACTCATAAAAATGCATCTCCGCTGACTTCACGGGGATGTATGTCAGCTGACACATTTATCTCTTTGTGCGGATGCAGCTAATGATTATTCACAGACTCTGCAGTTTTTATTGGAACCTTTTTTTTTTTTTTTTAAATAGAAAGTAGCTTTGATGAAAAGTGTTCACAGTGAGGTCGGTGGATTATCCAGACTAGCAGAGACAATATTCTTTAATGAAGCACATTTCTGCCAGAAAAAGTAAAAATCGGAAAGAAAGTTATGAATAATGAAAATGAACCTGTTGTAAAATCATTTAAATTGACTAAAAATTTTGACATTGTGTGTGAAAATCATAAAAGCAAGTCATAACTATGAGGTAGTAAGTCCAAATCTTTTTCTTAATATCTTGCGAGTCCAAATTTTGACTTACAATCACATATTTTTTTTTACAATGTCATAATTTCAACTTAATTTCTTCTTATTCCTACAGTGAATTTCCTGTCAACTGACAAACTGATTATGTTGTTTCACTTCTATCTCATTCAGCTAAATGTTTGTTTTCCAAAAGCACATACACTCATAGTGACATGTACTACTTTTCTTCCAGTGCCATTAGTGCCTTAGCAATAAGCCACAAAAACACGACACTCATTACCAACCACACAACTCTGCACACATGTGCCTTTGCACTTGCAATGCAGGGAGATATTGATTTCCACATGTGGACTTTTTAAGACACAAGAGAGTACAGCATTCTGCCTGTGCCGCAGCATGACCCTGTGACCTTCACACTGCCCTACACGCAGATATAACGCTTCACACACTCTTTCGAAGCCCACTTTACCAGCCTGCAGCCTCCTACACACTCACACTTTTGTGCATTGAAAAGACACGTGCAGAGACTGATGTTGCCATGATACTGTGAGTTCGTACCTGATGCTGTTAAGTCAGCGCCAGAGCCCAATTTATCAAATATACAAAAACCGTCAGATATGCAAAATAAACATGATGTTTTGAAGACACGGTGCGTGAGAGCTGATCGTCAATCGTCATCAAATCATAATTATAGACAAATATGAAAAGGGATTTTGAATCTACAGAACAAAAACAGTGCTGTTTAATTTAGATAACACTCTCGGATAGTTCACATAAACACAGCAGGTGCTTTGCTTCAGCAAACACTGGGGAAGCGCTGAACAGCTCCATGGCTGTCAGCACAAAAGAGCAGTTAAGGTGCTCTGTGCTGCAGCTCGGTGAGATGAGTCGGAGGCACCGAGGAGCTCCCACAGCTGGGGTGGGAGGTTTGGTCTCAGCTGGATTCAGTTCAGGATCTTCCTCCGAATTTGCATACAGAGAGTCCAGTGGACGGGGTGAACGCACAGTACCATCAGCAGTTAACTGCTGCCTGTTTACGGCAGTTGTGGGGCAGAGGGTCCTCCTATGGATTTCTTCTCTACATGAATAATTTAAGACTGAATATCATGATTACAGCATCTGGTCTTCATGTGCCTCATGGTAATCGTTTTAGATTTATTAAGAGACAACAAAGAATAAACAAATACCCAGTTTAATCATATAATCAAGAATCAGAGCTTTAAATTTTTGTGTATTTTAACTGAAAAAGTTTGTTTTACTGGCTGCAGATCCATTAAAACTCATTTTAGCTCACTCTCACACACACACACACACACACACACACACACACACACACACACACACACACACACACACACACACACACACACACACACACACACACACCTCTTGTGACAAGAAGACAATGGTCACTGTAGCTTAGAGACATCTACACCACCCTGCAAAACACACAGCTCAGGACAAGCTTGTAAAGTGAAAAATGAGAAGGCTGCTAATTACGCAGAAAAACAATAAATTGCAAAAAATACAAAGTAGTTGTATTGCAATCAAACTTTCATTTTCTAAATCAAAAATGCGGATTAAATGTCAGATCTAATAGTATAATATGAAGATCAAATATAAAGATCAAAATATAGGTTTCACAAAGAGACTCCTACAGAGAGTTGTTGAACAGTGGCACTTCCTGTATATCGTGTTTCATACAATCGTTCAATGCAATGGACAATTACAGTGCTGTAATAAATATAATTTAATAGTTTGAGTGTTCCTTCAGTTCTGGGTAAAATCCTGTCAGATAATCGTCTTATTTCAGGGTTTGTTTACAACCTCACTGTCTGACTGGCTGTGTTGCTCTCCCTGCTAAGCGCCGCACTAATGATGTCACCAGTTCTCAGCAGGAAACAAACAGACAACCGCTACAAAAAAAACAAAAAACAAAACAACTACAAAAATAAGACTCGGACTGTTCAATAAAAAACAGTTTTCCTTCAAAAAGCTGTTTTTGTAATTTGCTGCACCCAGAGTTACCAGCTGCAACCCACCGACACAAACACAAATGTTTCCACACATGCATGTACACACACACACACACACACACACACACACACACACACACGATTCAAGACACTCCTACTGCCCACACACTGGCACTCACACAGACAGAGGCGCACACGTGCACACACAAACAGGCACATGCACTAACACACATGTATATACACACACACATTTGCACACACCCCAGTCTTCACCAGCAGATCTCCGTGCTGGGAGCTTATATAAGGGAGAGTGGGAGGCTGAGAGCTATTTCAGGACCAGAAAAGACGTAAGTGTGCATGTGTGTGTGAGCCTGTGTGTGTGTGTGTGTGTATGGCCATAGTACCCATATGGATTTGTATTGGTGCTGCTGTGTGTAGGCCTGCTGTAAGGACTATAAGGACTCTGATTCAGTGGGTTTCATAACCAGTCAAGTTTGAAGTGAAGTTTGGCTCAGAACCTCTGGCAGTTCAGAGAGTCTCTGTGCCTACGACGCGTTCAGTGACACCCCAGAGCTGCCTGCACACACACATTTTAAAATGCAGCCGTCCCACAGAGCTGCGTAGCAATTGGAGAATGCCTACATGTTTACTTGTTGTAACTACAGACATGTCAAGTGCATCCGGATGTTGTGGCAGCAGCAGCCTTTCCCCACCAGCTCTGATGAGAGCCTTTCCAAAAACCTTCTTTTAATTGCAGTCTTCTCCCCAACAAAAGCCCACTGAATTTCCTGAGATCTCTGCAAAACATTTCAAAGGGCTGGCTCACTACTTCCTGTCTGTAAAAGCTGTCCACAGCATGTATATTGTGGCTCATACAGAATAAGGAGGGGACAGAGTCTGAAGACACGATGCTGCTAAGTTTCGTAAATGAAATTGTTCTGTGAACACCAGAAATCTCAGTCATGGATCAGATGAAACCAAAAACTATCTGCATGGCTGTGTAGCACCAGAATTGAGTGTGAAAATGTCTTTTAGGACTGGGTCGGTCCACCACTGTTCAGACTGTCATATCTCATCAAATATTGGACATTTTGCGTGAAT